TGTGGTGTAGCCTTCTTTGAATAAAAAAACAAAACCTAAATTATGTTAAGAGTAAATATTTGTATGTGTAGGCCCTGAGTTCTATCCCTGTCCTAGTTATGGTTTTTACTGCTGTGAACAGACCCCATGACCAAGACAAGTCTTATAAAGGACAACATGTAATTGGGGCTGGCTTATAGGTTCGGAGATTCAATCCATCATCATCAAGGCAGGAACTTGGCAGCATCCAGGCAGGCATGATGCAGGGAGAACCAAGAGGTCTACATCTTCACCTGAAGCCTGCTAGTGGAAGACTGGCTTTCAGGCAGCTAGGATGAGGGTCTTAAAGCCCGTACCTACAGTGACACACCTACTTCAAGAAGACCTACTCCAACAGGGTCACACCTTCTAATAGTGCCATGCCCTGTGCCGAGCATATATAAACTATCACAATCCCTAACACCAAAATTAAACAAAAGTTTAATTATGTGAATTATGTCAGTGTTATACCTAACCCAAAGAGATGGTGTGTATGGGTGTTTATGATCACTTACTTTGTTCGTTTGTATGTATGTGTTTGGAGGCAAGCATGCCACAGTACATGTGTGTAAATCAGAGGACAACTTGCAGGAGTTGGTTGTCTCCAGGAATCTAACTCAGGTCTCAGTTTTAGCAGCAACCTCCTTTACTCAATGAGCCATCTATCTCACTGGTAGTGTTTTTGTTTCTGAGACAGTTTCACTACGTAGTCTAAGCTGGCCTGATGTTCATGATTCTCCTGGCTCAGTTTCCTAAGTACTGAGATTATAGATATGTGCTATGATACTAGGCCTCTGAGGTGGTATATTTTATGTGTATCTTGCCAGATTTGTATTTTTCTGGAAAGGAAAAAAGAATCACTTTTAGAACTGATTATTTGTGGTCAATTTTATTTTGTTTTCTCAAAATAGTCTTGTTATGTTACCCAGGCTGGCCTGGAACTCTTGGGTTTCAAGTCATCCTCCTACCTCAACCTTTGAATATATGGTATCTGGGACCATAGGCTTTAATGACTATGCCTGGCTTGGCTTGTTGGTTTTCATGAGTAGGAAATGCTCACTTTGAACTCTGATCAGTCTAATGTTCTCTTCCTCCCAATGAATTAGTCATCTTTTAGCATAAAGATGGAGTCTAGGACCTCTGTGCTAGAGCCCCTGCTGCGATGGCCCCGCCTACAGATCACATTCTTATTAGTACACAGAATTGTTGCTGAATTAGATTTAAAATTTTATCAGCAAAAATTTTGGAAATACTTCTCTTTTTTTCCTGTTATTATCTACTCTTTGACCTACAAATATTTTTAGACAGATTCCCTACAGAAAAGCATATTTTCTGTGCCTTGTGTTAGCACACTGTTTGCTCTGCACAATTTGCCCTCTCAACTGGCAGACTTCTAGTCAGTGTTTAACTGTGCATTAATGACCATTCCTCCTTGGAAACCTTTGTTTATCTCCGAGACCAAAAATGGAACCTGCCTCTTAAGCATTTCCTTAATGATTGTCATCCCAGAATGGTTGGCTCACTTCTTCCTGCTAGACTGTACCATTCCAGCTAGTGGGGATTATGTTGAATTCAGTGTAGGAGCTTAATGCCAAAGGGAAGACACCCTGGTAAGAGGATGGCTTTTTCTCCATGTACAGACAAAGGTCTGACAGACAGGAAACCTAAGACTGTTGCCAGATGCCAGGTTCGGGCCTCTTCTTACTTCTGTCCATTTAGAAGCTTTGAATGTAAAGCTTTTTTTTTTGACTCATAAGATAGCATGTATGATAAAAATCTTTTGTTCCTTAGGAACTTATTTGTAACATTACTCTCTCTCTCTCTCTCTCTCTCTCTCTCTCTCTCTCTCTCTCTCTCTCTCTCTCTCT